TGGACCATTGACACTCCTAATTGAGATTGTAGATCGAGTGTCAATGGTCCATTTGAGAGATAGGTGGCGGTAATGCACTTATAAGTCTGCGATCCGCCGTAAAGCAAGACGACGCGTCATGCGCTGGCTGAAGAAGAAGACGCGAACGCACTCAGACTGCAATGGTTTGAGTTAAAAATCTTTGTTTGTGTTTACATACTACATTTGCAAAAATGCATACTAAATATCACAAGCACATTGGCAAGGAGTACCATATCCCAAAATGCAACTCGATCTTCCATTTTAAATGTGATAAATGACATATTAACTGTTTTTTTTCTAAATAATTTATATGCATTATTTGATTGGACTGAAAAAATTTAACTTAGAGCAAAAATAACAAACAATTATATTTTGTTTTGAATTATTGCATTATTTATTCTCATAGGATAATTAAATACCACTCACTAAATTCATAAAAACTAAAGCATACTGTATGATAGAGATTTGCATAAGAATTTGATTTATATATGAATTAAAAATATATTAATAATGATAGCTAAAAATATAATGATCACTAATAATATACTGTTTCATATACAATCTAAATAATAATAATATATAATTACAGTAATAGATATATATAGATATATAAAATTAATAATAAAAATAACTGAATTTTTATTTCACAATTCAGATTTTTTTTACCCCTCGACATTTATGAGTTTATATTGTACAATTATGACTCTCGCAATAAAAACTCAAGACTTATTATTTTCTTGCAATTGTGAGTGATCTTGAAATTCTGACATTTTTCTCAGAATTGCAACTTGGGTATAACGTCAATTCTGACTTTGTAACTCACAATTGTGAGTTATATCACAATTTAGACTTTATAACTCACAATTGTGAGTTTATATCACACAAATCTGAGAAAAAAAAAAGTTGTAAACATTTGGAAATGTTTTGAAAAAGTCAGAATTGTGAGATTGCAATTACAAGCTTCAATAAATAAATAATAAATTCCATTATAAATAAATAAATAGGCTGTATACAGTGTAGAAATGCAGTACATAGTATGCAAACTAGTATTCCCTTCTAAAAACACACTTTAAAGAAGATGAACTTGTTAAAAGATGCACTGGTGCTATCTAGAGAGGAACAAAACCACAAATGTGCTCGTAAGAAGAGAAACAAAATCGATGATTGCTGCCCTAATTTGATGAACTTGATAGCAAATAATTAAATGGAAATGAATGACTCAGCGAATGAGAGTGAATGAATCCCTCCAAAAATGGCCTAAACAGCCTAATGATGATTATGATGAAGCAGTCTCCACACTGATGAGTTTCTTTCCAAAATGACTTGATGATTGGAGTGATTTCCCTCCTTCTGAGATTGGTACATTACATTACATAATGTGCGCAGAGAGCTTGTGGGATGTGCTTATGGATGTACGTTACTTCTGAACAATTACTGGAGATAATCACAGACACCGGAAAACCGCATTTCCAACGTATTAACTTTTTAAACAAAGTTTGATGTGGGTTATGATATTGGTTTCAGAGGTGGGAAAAAAATCATTGCAATTTCCTAAAGTATTAAAACACATTTTAGCTCTTAAGAATGACTCATAACAATAATATTCATCTCACTTTGAGTTGCTGGTGGTCAACCACGAGAGCCGGAGGTGGCGGAAGTTCCACAGTCTCCTCGAGTCCGACGGCCGACTCGTCTGACTTTTTCTTCCCGTTTGATGAACCTATTAAAATTAAGCAAAGTCACACTATGGAAAAAAACAAACCTGCACACGCATCACACCAGAAACACCTGGTGAAGGACAAGCAGATGTATATGAAGAGACGAGTCCGCAGGGTGTTTCTGTTAGTGTATTTAACTCTCGGCAGGAGAAACGCTCTCAAACAGATCCAAAAACAGAGCATTTTTCTCCAAACTGCGATTAACCGTACAGTTGACTATCAATACTAGGAATTATTCATCTGTTCTGCATGTTTATGGACATCAGGTAAGACTAAAATGTTATTTTGGACAGTTAATTATTTAATTACACTTACATACGTGAGAGAATTATATATAATTATGTTTATTGCCGTGTTCGGAGTCTCTAAATTCAGTGCATTAACATTTTAAATGTATGAAAATATATGCTTAGTTAATACTTTGGCATTTGTAAAGTCTTCTCACGCCATACCTTCTGTTTCATGGTCGCCATCAGATGCCGTCCCCTCCACTGCTGTCACATTCTCCTCTGCATTGCATTCTGGGGCAGAAGGCTCCTTATGCTCTGCTTCAAGTGCATCTTTATTAATAGAGTCTACCTCGGTTTCTTTATCAAGAGCCTCACTGTACACGCTGTCCATAGATTCATTTCCATTCACACACTCTTGAGGAGCAGGGACTGATGTGGCCTCCTTACTGCTGGAAGCCTCCTCTGAGAGGGCCTTGATGGGCTCCTTCTCGCCCTGAGGGTCCTGAGTGGCCGTCGGCTCAGAGGAATTCTCCTCCTCCGTGGAGAGGATGTGTCCGTTGGCCTGGAGTGGTTGTTTGTCAGGATGGAGCTCCATGGCATCACAGGACGACTCGTCCTGGGTGAGACAAGCGTCACCTTGCACCATTGCAGCAGAGTCGTCTTCTCCCTCCTCCTCTTCCGGTTCATCATCTTCTTCCGCTTCCTCCTTTTTATAGCTCTTTTTCTTCCTGATGATGCCCCGCCCCCAAATCGGTCGCCGCCGCAACTTGCGCTTTATGTTATCTGAAGACAAAAAAAGATTAAAGTCAACTAAGAGAGTAAACAAGAAATGCACAGATTATTAATTCATCCTGCAAGATTGCAAATCGAGAACAGTTCAATAGGAAACTAGTTTTGGCGGAATATTCCAAAACTTTTTTAAATGCAAATTAGAAATAATTTCAAATTTTTTATTTGTGACTCCAAAAAAACTGTAAAATTGCTTTTAACACAATGTTGATATCATCACTGAATCACAACTGAAACTACAACATGCACACTGGAGAGATGTAGTGGGTCCACAAGAAATGAATCTGCAGAACTCATTTCAAACTTTCTTTTGCACTTTTCTTGCTTCACTTTTACCCAGTAAAAGCACAGCATATAAGCAGCTCTGACCACACTGAGAAAGAACAGTTTCTACATATTTACAATTATGAAATCTAAAAAATAAAAAAAATAAAAAAAATATCAATTCAAAACAAATGCAATTCAAAAATAAAAATAAATCCCAAAATAAAATAAAATAAAATGAGGCAGACAAACTAAAAGCCACCCAACTCTTTTCTGAATTATAAAATAAACCAAATTGACAAAAAATCCAAAGAGTAAAAATAGAAAATAGTAATTGTTTCTGCACATTGAAATTTATAAAACCTAAACAAATAACATGCACAATAATTTCTCTTTAAAATAAAATAAAATAAAATAAAATAAAATAAAAGGTGGCTTCAAAAATAACAGAAAAAAGTAAAGCTACAAACTAAAACTCTCAATTTTGATTTCATGGGGGAGTAATAGAATAAAACTTATACAGTACAGTATATACAGAAACATTTAAAAGCTTTCAAGCTGTGCAGGGTCTTGCATTTTAATAACTTAGATTCACCTCGCGATTCTCGCTCACTAATTACATGCAAAACCCCTGTCAAAATCACGGGTGTTTGAAGCTGGTCTAACCGTTCATTAGACATGACTGATTGCATGATGAACTTCTCACCCTCATGTCTCATAGTCACTCAGATGACAACGACAGAGAGGGGAAAGAGGGAAAAAAGTGTGTTGTCGTGACTGTCACCGGGAAGCTTATGCTGAGAGCTCCAGAAGCACGGCGAGAAAAATAAACCGAGGCGGGTGGGCCAATCTGTTAGCGCTACACGACACCTGTCCACTGTGTAATTGGTCGGAGAGGGAGAGAAAGGGGGGTTATGGAAAAAAAACAGAGGGGGAGCATTGCTCGGCATGCAGGAGGCCATGCTTAAAATCGTAATTGAAAACAATGGATGGCAGGCCAGATGTGTGCTATATATCAGAGCCCAAAAGGATTGGGCTAATTTTCCTCCACCGGCTGCTGGTGTTTCGTATTGGGCTTTCGGTGACCGAGTACTCACACTCCACTCACAATAATGGATTCCCACAACACCCCTCCTATTCTAAATACAACATTTTATTTATTTTTTTTTAATCGGAGAGGTTGATTGCGAAACACTTGGTGCTCCCTTCGGATGAAATCGGAATGATCGAGTGAAGTGTGGGAGAGAGAGGGAACAAGCAAGTGGAAGAGAGAAAAAGGAGGACCTTGGAGAATGCCAACATATGGATACTAGAGAGAGAAGCAAGAGAGGGGAGCAAAAGCGAAAAATAGGGGGAGAAAAAAGCTTTTCCATTTCCAAAAATGTAGTAAAAACTTCAGGGTGAAGAGGCTAAAGGTCTGACGCTGTAAAACTTTAACAGGCTTCATTCCACGCGTTCCTCTGCTGGATTCACAGCACTGGTCTGGGGTAACAGGTCTCGAGTTCAACAGTTGGGCTTTTACTGTCTGTTCCTTCTGCTGTAACTGCAGTCTAAGACTCTTAACTCGAGGACACGTGTGCTTCAGGTGCTACGCACGCAGATTTTCATTTTGTTTTGCAATCCTTTTAAACTAAAAAAATAACATTGAAACAATTAATCATGATTAATCCTGTGATTCTTTTTACTTTTGCATGAGAGAAAAAGCAATTTGTGTAATTTGTTTGGATTACTCTTGTATCAGAATATATGTCTGTTTATCACACACAGGATTGACTTTGATTAAAAATTGCGGTAAGAATTTACTTAAAGCTTTTATGTATAATGAATTATAAAAGTAGTTTTAATGCATTAATTATGCCTTGTAATGCACCTTATAATGCATTGTACAATCTCATAAATAATTGTAACCACAGTTAATACATTATAACACTTATCAATTCATTGTTACACTATGCATTTTAAATTCGGTTATAATTATTTACGACAAGATATAATGTATTACAATGCACATTATGAATAATTATAATGCATTATAGCATTTAATAACCCTTTATAATTCATTACACATAAAGGCTGTAAGTAAAGTGTTACCAAATTGCTAACCTAACTTAAAAGTGACTAACATAAACTAACATCAAACTAACCAAACATTTTTAATTAGAAGCGACTAACATTAAACAAAACAATATGCACAATTAGTTTTTTGTTTTCATTCAAAAAGGAATAAAATTGAAAGATTAAATAAATCGCAAGTATGTCAGTCATTCGATATTAGGTTATGTTATGTTAGGTAGTCACTTTGTTTTCTATGTTATGTAGGGTTAATCACAAAAAATAAAACAATGTGGCTAAACTAACAACAATATAACAAAAAACAAAATGACTCATCTAACAACATTATAACAAACAAAGTGACTCATCTAACATAACCTAACAAATAATAACAAATTGACTAACCTAACGTATTCTAATATGACAAAGTGACATACATATAAGTGGCTAACCTAACAAAGTGACTAACATAAAGTGACTAACATAACATAACATACCTCTGTGACTAACCTAATGTAACCAATTATAACAGATTAACATAACATAAAACAGCGCTTAACCTAACACAACATAACAAAACAAAGTGACTAAGCTAATATAAAACAAAATACAAACTTAGCTACCTAAATTAAAATAAAATTATTAACATTACACAAAGTGACTAACCTAACATATCAAAGTAACTAACCTAACATAGAATGACTAAAACAATATAAAACAAAGTGACTAACCTAATAACCTTACCTAAAATACAATGACTAACATAGCCTAAAACATAGCATAAAGTGACTAACCTAACATCTTAACCTCACATAAACATAATAAAGTGACTGATCTAAAAACGAATAACTAACACTACAATCAAACAAACTGACTAACCTAACAAAGTGACTAAACCAACAACCTAACCAAACCTAACATAGAATGACTAACATAACATAAATCTCTATGTTAGTCACTTTTTTATGTCAGTCATTCTATATTAGGTTAGTCACTTTGTTTTATATGTACAGTCACTTTATGTTAGGTTAGTCACTAACATACCATAGCACAGCATAGCGTAACTTAAAGTGACTAAAATAACATACAGTGTATGTGTATGCTATGTTGCAAGTACACAGTGAGACACAGTATAAGTCAAAATTTCTGCCTTGATAAATATCAACTCTTACATAGGGTTTTTTAAAGTACAGACAGAAAAGGTTGGGAAACCAAGACGAGTCTTGTGTGAAAACCGTTAATTTTGTAATTTGGTTTGTTGCCACTAATTGTGCAGAAATTCCACACTGGACCTTTTAAATTTGAGCTTCAATCAATTTTATGAACTGGTTTTATGAAATAACAAGACAGCATAAGCACCATCACGCAACATGTTAGAGCACATACACCACCCATCAAGACACTAACCGTGTTTGTGTCCATCAATACTTATGCATTCATGTAACAGGCCATAAAATGCATCTGAGTTCAGTAAAAATAATGCTTCAGCTGCACAACAGATTCAGTCTGTTGCATATTAGCATTTGTAAGGCATTCGATTTTGTGGACGATGCAATTCAGCGACAGCAACAACATCCATCCAGACTGACATACGTGTACGTGACGACTGACTGTGAATACAGATAAGCAGCAAATGAAGCGGAACTGATGAGCCCTAATTTATTAAGATTTAGCAACCGGATGGTAGAAAGGTGCATGTAGCAATTTACACAAAGGGTCATTTCTTTTTGCTCGCTATTTTGCTTTTTCCTTTGTGGCCACACAAGACCTAATTTGACATTTCGGCCAAATCACAGTACACAATAGCCGTGACTCGCTCTAAAGAGACCCATGCGGTGCATCAGGCCCTAATGATGCGTAATTAAGTCCACAAAGGCTCCGTGTATTTGCGTGTGTTCAACCAGAATACTGGGCTTATGATTGAACAGCACTACAGAGGAACTGGAGACCGCCAGGCTGCTTGGACTGATTGATAGGGGAAAATAGAAAACTTGTACTGCTGGAGGACATATTGATGTGTCCAGATTGCATCTGCTGCAAGACACTGACAACAGCGTAATTGAGGCCAGATCATAGTCAAAAGCTGCATTAAAAGAGAGAAAAGGAGATCTACAGGATGGTAACATTGCAAACTCTTATGTATGCCTACCTCAAAAGCAATGAAGGAAAGAGCAAAATAAATAATAATAAAAAGTAGCAATGATTGTCAGTACTGTACGTTGCCCTCTGGTTTCGAAATCAGATCCACGATAGAGCCAAAGGCAGAAGATTTCCAGCCCTGTAAAAGTCAAAGCTTGACAAGGAATCAAAACACCGGCTGTGGCCTCCAGGACTGTGTATCAGAACCCTTGGGCTTCACCATTAGGAAAAATGCAATGCAATATGAGTATCTGCATTATTAAAACTTCAGTCAAAGTCATAAAATCCCAGCTTATCTGCTTCTCAAATTTTCCTCACATCGACCTAACACTGCTTTTCATGTCGACCAGGTAGACAGAAAACTAGCTTGAGGATTATGATAAAGCTACAGTCAGTCTTTAATGTTTAAGCCTTGAAATGCTTTTTGTTTGTTTCTCTCTCTCTCTCATGCCAGCAGAGGTTTTTTATTGATGGGGTGTCTAGCGGCGTTATTCTAGACAGGTGGACATGTTTCTTTGTTGCTAAAGCAACAAAGTACA